TAATACAAAATAAGTCTCAACATTCCTGATAGCCCCTCTTTCCTTCCTGTATGCTTCCATTGCCCTTGTACTTCAACAGCATTTAATGTAGTTACCTGTTCACACATCTATCTCCCCTCATTAAGCTATAAGCTTTAGAAGATCAGGGGCTGACTTATTTATCTTTATATTCCTAGCAGACTTAACACAGCAGCTAGGGAAAAAGTGACACTCTTTATGGACAGAAGGAAAAGGGCGAGGGAGAGAAAGAGAAGAAGGCCAGAGATAGCGTTGAGTATTTCAGTGGCCATGTAACTCAGTAAACTTATGGTGAGGTGTTAATTGAATCCTTCCTTGTCCTTTGTCTGTGTCATCTTACCATACGTGCAAGAGCCTGACCTCAAAATTTACCCTTTCCAAAGTCATCTTGTTATATTTAACTCATCTTTTTCTGAGAAGATTTTTTTTTTTTTTTGGACCATGAATCTGTTATCTCATACATTAGTAATCCTTCCTGGCCATAATCAATAATAAACAATATGTTACAGGCAACTAGGTATTTGTACTTGTGGAGTTCAATGTTTTAGGCTAAACTTATCAAAGAGCAGAAAATAGTCCCTCTAATAATGAGTAGATCAGGTGAGTGAGGAGGAGGGACGCCTGAATCTATGTTCTACAGCTGGTGAGTGTTGCCATCAGAAAGCAACTAGAACAAGGAAACTCTGAATCTCAAAGGAAAGTGCCTGGATAGATATTTTTTTAAAAAATTCAAATCAAGTGTTTTCTGTTTCTTCAAATCTACTCTCTCTTTGCTCACAAAGCTTTCCACTGGGGCATCTGACTTTCCACCTACAGAGATGAAACTTGGCCTAGGTATGGGAAAGATTGATTGGCAGCTTTTTCCTTATTGCAATTAGTGATGCATGAGCCTCTGTAGTTTGATGGACCATTTTTCTAGTTCTGAAAAGAATTGTGAATTAACTAATTGTTCTATATTTCTTCTTCCTTTTCTTGGAAAATTTTTAAAATTTTACTTTTTATTGGTGAATTATAATTACACATAATAGTGAGATTCATTATGCCATATTTGTACATGTACATAACATAATTTGCTCAATCTCCTTCCCCAGAAGGATCTACATATCTTATCACCATTTTTCATTACTTTCTCACAGTTTTAAAGCCTTGTTCAAGATCAAAATAATTCAATCATCAAATCCAAAGGGTTTTTTTTTTTAATAGTCTTAGAGTTTCAAGATACCTTGGGATTTTACTTGCCCAGTTTCCTTCCTAAGACAACAATTACTTTGGAATGGTGTTCACTAATTGCTGACCAGCAATTACAGAATTTCTAGTGGCCAGCCACTCACCAACTCAGTTGTGGTTCCCAGTTCTGACTGTCTATCATAGTCACTTTTAGAGATTATTATCTACTTACATGCCCAGGTCTGACTCTCAAAAGTTCTCATTGAGGGGCTGGAGTTGTAGCTCCATGGTACAGAGATTGCCTAGCACAGGAGAGGCACTGGGTTCGAATCTCAGCACCACATATAAATAAGTAAATAAAATAAAGGTTCATAAACAACTAAAAAATATTAATAAGAAGAGTTCTCATTGAGCAGGTCAACATAGGTGTTTCTTCTATTTTGAAAGAACAAATAGATGATTCTATTGTGCAGGTGCAGCTGAGAATAACCGGTGTTAATACTCTTTCTCATAGTTGATAAACACTGTAAAAAATACTTTACTATTTTGGTAGGCATCTTGATGCCTCCACTATGTCAATTCAATCCTCTCCTTTTACAAATGGTACCCTTAAATTTTTACAGGGTAGAAATAGGCACATATAAAATATTCACCTCCTAGATTCGCTTATAGCTGGGTGTGATCATGTAATGCAATTCAGTCCAACAATATGTAAGAACAAGATTGCTGGGTAGAATTTTAGAAACTGGACTTGGATAGCCCTTATCATTTTCCCTTCTTGCCCAGTGACTGGAATATTGCCTTGGAGGTTTAGGAGCTAACATGCAAGCAGGAGAACTAATAATATACAGTGAGGAAGCTTTTAGGTCCAACCACATGGAGTTGCTATTTTGACAGATCAAAAATAATTGAGTATGGGCAATTTCATCTGACTCAGTCTAAGGAAAGGTGCTCAAGTTCAAGATGACAGCAGTTTCACCAATTCTGGAATGCATATTTCTATACTTATCATCACTTGTAAAAAAATAATCCTAATTATTGGGTCTCTTTACTTGCAGGTGAATACACTCTTAATCTATGTGGACCAAAAATGTGCCTCTTTTTAATTTGTGCCTTTTAGAGCTGTCGGAGTACAAGTAAAATTGTATTATCCACTTTCTGAGAGATGACTATCATGGATTCTACTTATCTTGATGTCCTTAGTTCCTTTTTGTGATAGTCATGTGACATAGTTCCCAGACCACTAATCATCTTGATCATTATCTTTTGAACAAGTTCAGATTGATAATGATCAACCTGAAAGTTATTACCACAGCAGACTCTTCCTGACATAACCTGATTGGCATACTGGGGAGTGGACTCATATCCTGGAAAGTTTAGAGTTTTCAGTTATACAGATCCACTCAATTTTTGTGTTAGTTTCTTTTCTCTTATTTTTGAAAGATCTATTACACCTTGGTTCATACTGAGATTGTCCTTTCCTTTAAAAAAAAAAAAAAGATATTGTGGAAGACCTCTCCTATCCTTCCTTGTAGTTGATGTCCCTCAAATGTCTCTTTTAAATACTTGAATTTTGTTGCAGCTTTGGTCCATTATTTAAATCCATTGAGATTATTTTGGAATCTTGATGAGCTGTCACTAACAGTTTTGTGTCATCTTCAAATGACATAGAGATGACATTTCCACATCATCAAGATTTATGATAAAATAGAAGCAACAACAAAAAAAAAAAAGCTGAGGATATGGGCAGGTTCTGCTCAATTTATATTCCATCCATTCCACAAATCATTTCCTTAGACCCTACTGTGTACTAGGCGTGAGCAGCAAGGCAGACATGGTTCTTATTCTCGGTGGAATAGACAATTCAAAATATTGTGAACAAAGCAAGTCACTTTCGCTATGGCAACACCTGAGAAACATTTCAGGTCAGAGAAGTCATCTGTAAGGAAGAGGTATTAAATCTGAGAGACAGACATGAGTAGATTCACCCAGGTGAGAGGAGCGATACCTGCTACAAGTAGAGGAAACTGCGTATGCCAAAGTATGGAGGCAGAATGGTGTGATAGGAATTCAGGATTCCAAAATCAAATCTGGCTGGGTTGAGTGCACTTGTATGGTTTTGGGGGAAAGTGGTGAGGAGAAGGGGGATGTACATAGAAAGACAAGAGTTATAGGTAGAGGTAGCTAGTGAACAGCATTTGCATGGCTCTTATTGAAGATTTTTCTTATTGAAGATTTTCAAGCTAGATGGTAACATGATCAGATTTTTGGTTGTAATTTCTAAATAAAATTAGTTGGGGTTCTTCAAAATGTCCAAATGGCATTCAAGTTACAACATGAGAATTAAAGGGAATAAGACTAGAGGAATGGGAGTGTTCTAGAGGATATTGCAGCCACTTAGGTAGGCATGAGGCCACCAGCCTGAAAGTTGAAGAAATGGAGAGACATGAGCATATTCAGAAGTTATGGAGGGGGAGGATTAAGACTTGGAGATGGAAAGTAAAGAGGATGATAAGTGATAAAGAAAAGCATAACAGTACTTCTAGTCTCTGGATGAGTGGTTCAGTGGTGGGTTTAGAGAAATGGTAATGGACATAATTTGGGTCACAATGGATTTCTAAGAAACTCCACAATATGAAGCTAGCCAGATGGAGCTGGAATTCTAATGAGGTACCTGGGCTTGAACAAAGGAAGTCTTCAACACAGATACAATTAATTACTTTAGTGAGAGAATAGAGAGGTACATGGACAGCAATGAGGGCAGAGCACAGGTATTTGCAGGTAGGGAAGAGAAGAGATATGGTAAAGCAGATTGATAAGGAGTGACCAAAACACATGAGAAAAATGAGAAAAGCATGATAACATTGAGCTCAAAGGATGTAAATTTTGGAAAGGTAGGGATATTTGCAATGTCAAAAGTTTCAAATGTTTCTAAAGGATTAAGGGACATTAGTCATGATACGATCTTCTAATTATTTGGTGTGAATGGTTTTGTAGGAGGAGCCTTAGGGTGGGAGATGGTAGGGAGATAAAGAAGTAGAGTCAGAAAATGTGGATGGTTTATTGTTAAGAAAGAAAGAAATAGAAGAGAATATGAAGGAAAAGGAAGACTACCTTCTGAGAGGATGCTATTGTTGCTTTTACATGATGGGAAAGACTTGCTTGAATGCTGATGGGCAAGGGCCAGTAGAAGGGAAGAGAGATGGGAAGATTTAGGAGACACCTGGCCTAGTGAGTCCCTCAGAGGTATGAGCATGTGGGAGGGTTGGCAGATCCTGAGCACAGGTAAAAGAATGAGACTTGAAGAGAAGACAAGGACTGATCCCATTATTATTTAAAGTAAATAAGATGAAATGTATTGGGGAATATTCATTGTAATTGGATTCAGTTCTTATACAATCAAAGTGGCTTAAGTAAGATAGAAGTTTATCCTTCTAGTTATAAAAATACTGTGCCTAGTCTGTTCAAGACTGGTGTGGTGTTCCTGAAACTCAAGAGTCCCTGGCCTGTCTTTTGTTTGGATCTGTGGCATATGGCTTTGACTTCCTGGTCTCAGGTGGCAACATCTGTGTGCCAGTCATGAGATGAGGGAGGAGAGGAAGAAGATGGGGTAGAATGCAGAGGCATCCTGACTTCCAGAGAAGGCTTCTGGAAACCTAACCACAGCACTGTCAGTCACACTCCTTGGCGAGAACTTACTCACATGGCAAGATCTAGATGCAAGGGAATGTGAAGAAGGCCTTGTCCACTTTGCTTGACCACACACCCAAATTCTGGGGTTATCACCACAGAAAAGGGAAAAGGAATATTGATACATTTTTAAGGACAGTAGAGAGATAAACATTTCCCTTGTAAAGGATAGAAAAGGCCTTCAGCGCCATAGGACTCACGTATGGTTAAGGCCTCGCCACATTCTTGGTATCATCAAAATATGGTATTTCAACATCACTTGTAATTCAGGAAAGACAAAACCACAGTGAGGTACTACTTCACGCCCATTAGGATGTTTCTTAACAAAAAAGAAAGGGAGAAAGAAATAAAGAAAGAGGAAAAAACACATGTTTGCAAAGAGGTGGATAAATTGGAACGTCTGTGCATTGCTGGTGGAAATGTAAAGTGATGTTATCACCGTGGAAACAGTATAGCAGTTCCCCCAAAAGCTAAACAGAATTTCCATATGATTCAGCAATTCCATTCCTGGTTATATACCCCCCAAAATTGAAAGCAGGGACTCAAACAGACATTGTTTACCAATGTTTATATTGGCATTATCCACAATAGCCAAAAAGAAGAAAAAAAACCTGAAATAACCATCAATAGATGAATGAAAAAAAAATTGGTATGGCTTGCAATGAAATATTATTTATCCTTAAAAAAGGAAGATAATTCCTCCACATGCTACAATATGAGTAATCTTGAAAACATGCTAATTGAAATAAGGTAAACACAAAAGGATAATCACAGTATGACTCTAATTATATGAAATATCTAGAATAGATAAATTCATAGAGAGATTACTAGGGACTCAGGGGAAGCTGGGAACAGAAATGTATTTTGACAGATATAGACTTTCTGTTTGGGATGATGACAATGTTCTGGAAATGAATGGTGATGATGGTTATATAACACTATAAATGTATTCAATGTCACTGAGTTGTGTACTCAAACATAGTATGTTATGCATATTTTAGTTCAGTAAAGAAAAATGAAAAGGAAAAGGGATAATTAGATGTTCTTGGTCCAGTATGGCTGCAGGTTTATTTTTAAGGTTGGTGGCAGAAAATTGAAGGAATTACTGTTTAATAGCTCCTGTTTTCCTTGAACATCATGCAGGGAAAGCATTGTGTGTGCACAAGTCCATGTGTGTGTATTCAGATATATACAGGCTGAGTTTTCAAGAAAGTAGATATTTTGCCTGTTTAATGGGAAAGAGAGCTGACCATAAAGAACTCCTTACAACATTAACCACTCTTTTCTCACACTATTTCCTTTTCTCTGGATTTTTAAAATATGATCTATCTCCACTTTCTTTCTCTATCTAATTTTGGTCCTGTCATTTAGAACCATCTCCCAAACATGTTCAGAACTCATTGCCTATTTAATTTTCTCATGTTAGACTCTACAAGGAATCAAATACATATATCCTTTACAGATCATACTTGTATAAAATATATTTATTAATATTCACATCACACAATATCCTTTTCTCATCCCAGTCTATCATTAACTCTAAGAATCAAAGGTTTTTATCCCCAAAGTAAATCAGGATATTTATACTTCCTTGGAATATTGTTTTCATGTTGATATGAATTATGTTTTTGAAATCTTCTGTGAATCAATACATACCAGAAAATTAAGACAAAACTTGTAAGTCTTATTGAACAGGATGGGCACTGGTAACTATACCTGAGAAAGTCAACTTTAATGAGAAATGATTTATTTTGGCTCATATTTTCAGGAATTTCAGTCCATGGTCACTTGGCCCTGTTCTTTTGGTGTTTTGGCAAAACAAAATGTCATGTCAGGGAGCTCATGGTCACCAGGAAGAAAATACATGACAGATTAAGTGGGAACAAGATATCTTTCTCAAGGACATGCCCAGGGACCTAATTTCTCCAAATCTGTCTGCTTTCTAACATTTCCCTACCACCCCAAAGTGTCACCCACTAGGGATCAAGACATGAGCATCAACACATGAGCATTTGGAAGACATTCCAGATCCAAACTATTACATTCTTTCTCTGGCACCCAAAACCTCATGCCCATTTCACAATGCAAAATTCAGTCCATATTCACATGTCTCCATGGTTTTAACAGTTCCAGTCTTGCTCAGAAGTCCAAGTCCAAAGTCTCTCTGAGACCCAAGCCAAACTCTTTGATTTTAGCTCCTGTAAAAATTTAAAAAAGAAGTTACAAGCTAAAAATGCACAATGGCACAGAGTCAGTATTTCCATTTCAAAACAGAGGAATAGGAGAATACAGAGGAAGCATTAGACCAAAGCAAGGTTGAAATTCTGCAGGGTAAACAGTAAATTTCCTATCCTGTATCTAGGGCATATGGTGGGGAGGTACAAGTTCCAAATGGTTTAGGACGCCCCAATGCCCTTGCCAACTTCAGCTCACATGGCCTCTCTCTGGGGTGACTTGCTGTCTGCAGCTTTCCTTGAACATTCTGTGTTTCCGGCATCTTCAACTTTCTGGTGTTTCCATTGCAGATCTGGCTTCCCTCTTACAGCTCCAGGCATCACCCTTTCTGTCTGTCAGCGGGGATTCCAACCTTGCCGCATGCTGCCTAGCCTTCCAGGCCTTCCTTTGGAATCCCAGTGGAGGACTCGGTGACCCTTCACAACTCTTGCATCCTGCATATCTGTTAACACTAGTAAAACGGCATGATGTGGAGATCACCAAGGTCTGCTGTTCAAGTCCAGCAGGAGCTGTGCCCACTTGGGCCATGGCTGCAGTAACTTCTGAGTATTTGGATGGCTAAATGTGGGGAAATCAATCAGTTCCCTAGAAGACCCTGAGGGAGCAGGACACTTTGGAGCTCTCTTCTCAAATGCAGAGTTGTGTGGGTTTACACCCTTGAGCCCATGAGGAGTGGGGTCTTGCTGAATCCTGAAATGTTCTCAAAGTATCACTCCTATTGTCTCAGTGCAATGTACTTAGTTTCTTTTAATGTCACTAATCTCTTCAACAGTGATCCTTCCTTGGCTACGACTTAACATGCACTTCTTTTTTGGCCAGAATGCAAGCTTTTCAACTCTTTCTCCTCTGATTTTTGCTCATTATTCTCACCGTAAACCTTCCTAAAAACAGCCAGTACTACCCATGCCAATGATCAAATGCTATGCTGCCTTGAAATTTCCTCCACCAGATTTATTAGTCCATCACCTTTGAACTCAGTATCCCACAGTCTTAGATCATGAACAAAAGATGGACAAGTTCTTTGCCACAATGTATTACTAATGACCTCTTGTCTAATTCCTTGTAGAGTCTTCATTCCTATCTGAAATGAGGACTGAAACCTCAGGAGTACAGTCTTTACTGTCTGTGTTCCTATCAGCATTTTGTTCTTCTGAGCTCCCATCAAAATGAACTACTAAGCGCTTCTTACAGCATTCTGAGCTTTTTCTAGCCAGATTCTCCAATCTTTTAAAAATTGCTCCTTAAAATAGCTTTAATATCTTCTGAACCACATGGTCACTGAAACAATCCTGCTTTTTGGTACCAGTTTTCCATATTAGCTTTTCATTAATGTGACAATATTCCTGAGAAAAACCAACTTAAAGGAGGAAAGATTTATTTTGACTCATGGTTTCAGAGATTTTGGTCCATGGTCAGGATCAGCTGAATGCATTACTTTTAGGTTTGTGTTGAGGAAGAACATCATGGTGGGTAGCACATCATCATGGAGCAAGTCTCTCACCTCATGATGGCCAAGAAAGAGAGGGGCAGGAGAGAGAGAGGGGGAGGTGGGGGGAGGGAGGGAGAGGGAGAGAGAAAGAAAGGGAAACAGGCTAGAAAAGGGGCTGGATTTCCAATACACCCTTCACATTCCCTTCAAAGGCAATGCCTCAGTGAGCTACTCCTCCAACTAGTCTCTACCTCCTAAAGTTTCTACCATCTCCCAATTGTGCCACCAATTGGGGAACAAGTCTTCAACCCATGAGCCTACATTCCTGATCCAAAGTCTAACAACTTCCTATCAGTGCCATCTTCCTCTCCTTCCTCTTAGGTAGAAGGTCCGTCCCTACCTTGCCATAGTCTACGTCTCTAGAATTCTCCTTAACACCATCTTATTCCCACTTGATATTGAACTTATGCCCTCCATCGTTCAGTGTCTTTGCATATGCTTCTTTCTGCCAGGAATAGTCTTCTTGCAAGATTGGCACCAATCTACATACCGATGCTAATGTTGTGAGCAGTGTAATAAATAAGGTCAGGAAAAGAATTTAAAAGTCTGAAAAAACAAAAATACTTTGAAACCTATTCTAATATATAATATAATA